TTCCTCCATTGTACCTTACCTTGACACCTTCTATCCTGAATCCTAATCAAGCTTCCACCTTTGTACCTTACCTTGACACCTTCTATCCTGAATCCTAATCAAGCTTCCTCCATTGTACCTTACCTTGACACCTTCTATCCTGAATCCTAATCAAGCTTCCTCCATTGTACCTTACCTTGACACCTTCTATCCTGAATCCTAATCAAGCTTCCTCCATTGTACCTTACCTTGACACCTTCTATCCTGAATCCTAATCAAGCTTCCTCCATTGTACCTTACCTTGACACCTTCTATCCTGAATCCTAATCAAGCTTCCTCCATTGTACCTTACCTTGACACCTTCTATCCTGAATCCTAATCAAGCTTCCTCCATTGTACCTTACCTTGACACCTTCTATCCTGAATCCTAATCAAGCTTCCTCCATTGTACCTTACCTTGACACCTTCTATCCTGAATCCTAATCAAGCTTCCTCCATTGTACCTTACCTTGACACCTTCTATCCTGAATCCTAATCAAGCTTCCTCCATTGTACCTTACCTTGACACCTTCTATCCTGAATCCCAGACAAGCTGATGAGCTAACATGCTCTCTCCACTGCATATATCTGGGTTTTGTAATAGCACCTAGTTTATTTTCTTCATCTGTTGGTTCGTTAGCATCTATGTCTATCATTTTCTGATACATGTCCTGAATAGAAATAAAATGAGTTATAGAAAACATGATATGATGGCCACCAGGTGTCTGAAAAACAAAATGGCCACCAGGTGTCTGGAAAACAAAATGGCCACCAGGTGTCTGGAAAACAAAATGGCCACCAGGTGTCTGAAAAACAAAATGACAGCCATCAAGGTCCAATAATGTCCAATGTTTAAATTGAGTTTGAACAAAATCTGTGCATACTGAGATCTGGTTCAGCAACAGCAGAAATGCATTTTGAATCAGATCATGAAATGAATGCATGTGCATATGTGTTCTAAGTTGAATGATGTATGTGTGAAGTTTGAATGTGATCGAACTCAGAGGTCAAAGCTTAAGATGTATTACCTTTCTAAGCTTGGGTTTTTCTCTTGCTTTGCTCAGTTCATCTTCTAAATAGGTTCTGGAAATAAGAAATATTCAACTGTTTTATTATTAGTGACAAAGTAATGAGATTCAGAGAAACACCCACAGTACAACGACAGATTCAGACACTGGGATAACATACTTAGGATTTTCTCTGAAAACATTTTCCATTTAAACACTTTAATTTTCGTTATTTGATGATTTATTGGTGTGAGGACATTTCGCAAATTGTGATGTTACTATTGCTAATCCAGTATGTGAAATTGGTGTAATGTTAATGATAAAACAATCACCCAAATGCATTACTGATACAGTATGTGAATTGATTTACTGTACCTTGTTCCAAGTTTACAGTCCATAACTGAAGGTGAATCAAAGTCTTGAAGTAAATCTTGCATTTGAATATATTCTAAGGCAGCAGTTAAGGTGAAACACACATATAACACACATAACACACAAATATACATTTCATCTATTTCATTTGCTATGCTATGTCACTTGCTATGCTATGTCACTTGCTATGCTATGATGTCACTTGCTATGTTATGATGTCACTTGCTATGTTATGATGTCATTTGCTATGCTATGATGTCACTTGCTATG